TTAGGTGGCCAACTTCAGGGGAAGTCTTTGTTTCTTTTCAGTTCTGGGGAAGGTCCTAGTAATCTATCTTCACCTGGTCTAGGAGTATCTCAGTGCAGAGACCCCAGTCCAAAGGATGTACTCTTCTCCTGTCTTTTCTTGCTTGGGGGTGATGAGGTCCCTCTCCTCCCTGCTCGATTCTCTCTTTTATATCTCAAAAGAGATTGACTCAGGATACAACCAATCTTGTAGATTAAGTCTTGCCTCATTAACATAACTGCCTCTAATCTTGCCTTATTAACATCATAGATGTCTGATTTACAACTCATAGGATAATCACATCAGATCACAAAATGGTGGACAGTCACACAATACTGGGAATCATGGCTTAACCAAGTTGATACACAATTATGGGAGATACAACTCAATCCATGACAGACTTATTATTGCTATCTAATGGCATCCTTACTCCTCCCAGGGCAAACGAGTTGGATCTGAAATGGCATATTTCCTGGAATCCCTTACTTATTTCTTGTATGTTTAAAAATGATTTTATTTTTTTTTCTACCCTACTGTAAATCTAGCCTCCATCATAAAATTCTGGAAGCCAATTTGCTATCCAGGCTCTGGTTGTCATTTGGCTTTGATGACTATGGCTTTCTGCCACCTCTTTCTGGTCCATGCCGTATCTAATAGAACAAAGAAATATTCCTGTATCTTCTTTCTTCAAAGATTTCACCCTTTTAGGTGTGCTCTGTGCTTTGCATGTGAAATATCTCTAGTTATCTACACATTTTCAGAACTAAAGAGACCAACATAACTTATAAGAAATGAATTATTGAGTCTTACTTAGCTCTGATAACTCATTATTACCTGGTGCTCTATTAAGATTCAACATGAATATGAATCTCGGAATTCATATCCGTGGACCTAAGGTCTACTATAAGTCAAGGTAACTTTTAAACATCATAGACAGATCAGTTCCTAGAAAGAAAGAGATTTAACTGCAGTGTACTTTGAAAAAACTGACCTGTTCAACAATTAGAACCTGGGTAAAGACGTATATTGCTTACATAAAAAGTTGCACTAATTAAAAAGTTTGGCATTAAAACACAAAATAAAAACAGATTGTGGAAGAAAATTCATAAAATTAGCAAATAACTAAATATAAAATTTATATTTTATATGTACATATCCCTCTTTGTTTTGGACCCATATTTTAAATTATAGTTAAAAAGTAGCGTTCTCTTTTTTCTTTGGTGAGGGTATTTGTATTCATTTCTTCGATACACATATATCATAGATAGGAAACATAGTATTCAAAATAAATCACTGGACAGACATAGAATTTACCAGGTTAGGGTAAAAGCTCTGGAGTCCCGTTCTAATATATACCCACTGTGCAATAGTAGGAAAATATTTAATTGTCCAAGTTTCTGTTTCTTCATCTAGAAAACAAGATATGATATCAATAGTACTTTTATCATAGAGTTTTTATAAGGATACAAAATAATCTAGATATATTGTTTGGCATGAATTATAGCAAATAGTAAATGCTCAAAACATGGTAGTTCTCAATTCTGTTGACTCAGTTCTTTATAACTTCCTGTTAGACTGGTCCATGATTTAATTTTCTCTGACTGCATTACTAAAGAGAGATAATTCTTATAAAAATAAAGCTGACTTTCAACAATTTAACAAGTTTAAATACATTTTATGAATTAAAATAGTTAAATTTTAATAAGTAAATCTCTAGTTTGATCAATTAATTATTTAATTCATTAATCAAGACTTTTGGTTTTATTTGTGTGTGTTCGTATGTGAGTGTGTGTGGTAAGTACATACGTAGCAAAACATTTGCCATTTCTAAAATTTTTACATGTACATTTCAGTGATGTTAATAGTGTTCATCATGTTGTACAACCACCACCACTATCCGTTACCAAATTTTTCCATCACCCTTAACAGAAGATAATTCCTCCCCTCTAAGCAATGAACACCTCTATGCATCTCCCTTCTATCCCTGGTAACACTTAATAAGCGTTGGTGTATACACGTGTCTATTTTAGATATTTTATGTAAGTGGGTTCATACAATATTTGTCCTTTAGTGACTGACTTATTTCACTCAGCATATTGTTTTTGAGGTTCATTCATGTTGTAGCATGTATCAGAACTTCATTTCTCTTTACAGTAGAGTAATATCCCATAGTATGTATGTACCACATTTTGTTTATCCATGTATCTTTTGATGGAAATTTAGGCTGTTTCCACACTTTGGCTGTTGTGAATAGTACTGCAATGAACCCTGAAGTATATGTAGCTTTCTGTATTTATGCCTCTTATTATTTGGGATATATACCTAGGAGTAAAATTGCTGGATCATACAGTAATTCTATTGTTTACTTTTTGAGGAAACACCAAAATGCTTTTTTCCACAGCAGCTATACCATTTTACAGTCCCACCAGCAAAGAATCAGTGTTAAAATTCCTCTGGATCCTCAATAACACCTGTTATTGTCTGTTGTTTGATAATAGATTTCTTAGTTTTTATCATTTCCCTATTGACTAATGAAGGAGTCCTGGTGGCACAGTAGTAAAGGGCTTTACTGCTAACAGAAATATCTGCTGTTCAAACCCACCAGCTGTTCCACAGGAGAAAGATGTGGCAATCTGCTTTCTTCAAGATTACAGCCTTGGAAACCCTACGTGGAAGTTTTCCTCTGTCCTATAATTCTCTAGGAGTATGAATCAACTTGACTCGATGGCATGCAACAACAATGACAGTGACTAATGATGTTGAGTATCTTTTATGTGATGTTGGATATTTGTATTTCTAATTGGTGAAATGTCTATTCCAGTCCTTTGCCTATTTTTCAATTTAGTTGTTTGTCTTTTTGTTTTAAGTTTTAGGAGTGTCTTAGCCTGGGTTCTCTAGAGAAGTAAAACCAGTAAAGTGTATAAATCTATATAGACAGAGATTTATATCAAAGAAACAGCTCACACAATTGTAGAGGCTGGAATGTCCCAAGTCCATGGATTAGGATAGAGGCTTCTCCCAATTCACGTAGCCACAGGGGCTGGCGAACCCAAGATCAGCAGGTTGGAAAGCAGAACTCCACTCACAGGTTGTGAATATTGAGAATCCCAGGATCAGCAGATAAGCTGATAGCTCAAATCCCAAGAACTGGGAGTGAGAAGACAGGAGGCAGCCGCAAAATCCAGAGAGAGCAAAAAGCCAGAATGTCTGCTTATATTCAGATGCAGGCTACACACCCAAAGAAACTCCCTTTCCACTGATGGGCTATTCACAGCATATTCAATCATGGGAGTGATCACATAGAAACACTGAGACTCATGGCCCAGCCAAGTTGACAATCTTAACCACCACAAGGAGCATTTAATATATCCTGATTTAAATATATATTATTCAATATATATTTGCCTATAATTTTTCCATCTATAGAGATTTTCTCTCCTCACTTTGTTGATAAAGTACTTTGATGCATGAAAGTTTTTTTTTTTTTTAATTTTGATGAAGTATCATTTGTATGTTTTGTCTTTTGTTGCTTGTGCTTCTAGTGCTGTATCTGAGAGTATTCTTATTTTGTGAGCAATGATATAGTATGATTTTGAGATACACAAATTTTTAAGATAATTCAAAAACATGTTTAGTAATGACATCTAAGTAAGTGCGATGAAAGATGGATTTTATCAATTTTAAAAATTGGAGATAATTATTACAAAATGTGTAAAGTAGTAATAACTTTAGGAATTTACACAATATTATGAATATCACACACAAATAAAATTTTGCTAAAGATAATTCACAAAAGGTTACAGCAGTACATCGACAGAGAACTGCCAGAAATTGAAGCTGGATTCGGAAGAAGATGTGAAACGAGGGATATCATTGCTGATGTCAAATGGATCTCGGTTGAAACAGAGAACACCAGAAAGTGTTCACCTGTGTTCTATTGACTATATTAAGGCATTTGACTCTGTGGATCATAACAAATTATGGATAACATTGTCAAGAAAGGAAATTCCAAAACAATTGTACTCATGTGGCACCTGTACGTAGACAAAGAGGTAGCCAGAAACAGAAAAAGTGGACACTGCATGGTTTAAAATCAGGAAAAGTGTACATCAAGGTTGTATCCTTTCTCCATACTCAGTCTGTATGCTAAGCAAATAATCAGAGAAGCTGGACTGTAGGATTATATGAAAACTCATTAACAATGTGCCACATTTAGACAATGAAACTTCCCTTGCTGAAAGCTAAGAGGACTTGAAGAACTTACTGGTGAAGACCAAAGACTAAAGTTTTCAGTGTGTATTACACCTTAACATAAAGAAAACAAATATCCTTACAAAAGGACCAATAAGCAAGATAATGACAAAAGGAGAAAATATTGACGTTTTCAAGGATTTCATTTTACACGGATAGACAATCAACACTCATGGAAGCAGTAGTCAAGAAATCAAACAACATTTTGCATTGCACGTATCTGCTGCAAAAGATCTCTTTCAAGTGTTAAAAAGCAAATATGTCTCCTTAGGACTAAGGTACACCTGACCCAAGCAATGATGTTTTCGGTTGCCTCAGATGCATGTGAAATCTGGGCGATGAATAAGGATGACCAAAGAATTGACACTTTTGAATCATGATGTTGGTGAAGAATATTGAATATACCATGGACTGTCAGAAGAATAAACTAATTTCTCTTAGAAGAAGTACAGCCAGAATGCTCCTTATAAACAAGGATGATAAGATTTTGTCTTACATATTTTGGACACGTTATCAGGAGGGACCAGTCCCTGGAAAAGTACATCGTTCTTGGTAAAGTAGAGTGTCAGTGAAAAAGAGGAAAACTTCAATGAGTTAGACTGACTCAATGGCTGCAAAACTGGGCTCAAACGTAGCAACGATTGTGACTGTGATGTAGAACTGGACAGAATTTTGTTTTGTTGTACATAGGGTTGCTCTGTGTCAGAACCTCCTTGAGGGCACCTAACAACAACAACACAATTTTGGCATTGGATAACCCTAAACAGTGGGGCTAAGTTTATTGAACTTTTAAGTTAATACATTTCCCAAGCCACCTTTTAAAAGCTCCTTTCACCTCATTGTTCCTCAGACTATAAATGAGCGGGTTCAACACAGGAGTGAAGATTGTATAGAAAGCTGACACAACCTTATCATGGTTAGCTTATCTGTAGGATTTGGGTCTCATATAGATAAAAATGGCAGCCCCATAAAAGAGTGCTACCACAGCCAAGTGTGACAAGAACGTTGCAAAAGACTTTTTGTAGCTTTGTAGAACGCATGTGGAGAACAGCAGCTAGGATGAGACCGTAGGAGGTCAGGATGAGGGATAAAGGTACAAGAAGCATTAACACACAACAAATGTACATAACATTTTCGAAGATTGAAGTGTCAGCACAAGCCAAGGGCGCCAGTGAGGGGGCCTCACAGAAGAAATGATCAATCTCGTATGCACTGCAGAAAGGGAAACTCAGGGTAGCAACTGACTGCATGAGACCATCAGCTGCCCCCAGAAACCAAGATCCCACGATCATTCTGAGGCAGAGTTGCCAACTCTTGAGAATGTTATATCGTAGTGGATGACACACTGCCACATAGCAGTCATAAGACATAGCTGCTAAGAGGAAGCACACCCCGCCACCCAAGGTGAGGAAGGCAAAAATTTGTAACCCGCAATCAGCAGGGGAGATGGACTTCTTGCCTGTCAGAAAGCCAGATGCCATTTTGGGCACAATGGTGAAAACCAGCATCATGTCCATGAAGGAGAATTGGCTCAGTAGTGAGTACATGGGTGTGTAAAGCCAGTGGTCCCTGTGAATCAGGAGGATCATGAGGGCATTGCCCATCAAGGAAGAAATGGCTATTGTCAGCACCACAATGAAGAGGAAGAGGTGGAAGCTGGTGTGCTTAAAGGGTCCCAAGAGAATAAAATCTGAAGTGGCATTTGTCTTCTCCATGACTTCTACAGGAGTTAACACTGCATACGGAAAGTTAGATAAGAAGAGGGTTTCCATTATGTAAAAATCTTACTTTGACTGTATAACTTTCTGGAAATGTATTATATTTGGAATCCACTGTCCTGATTCAAAGCCCTAGCCTCTCAGTTAAAATGTTCCATCATAGCTTATCATTCCACTTCTCAATAGCTCAACTATTTAAAGTTTCAACTGGGGTCAGTGTATTGATAATCAATCAAAATAGGTACTAGATGAAAAATGTGTTCTAAATTGTTAAGGACTAAAAGATGCTAAGTAGTTCCCATTGGCCTTTCCAATCACAATTATTATACTGTAATTGCTTTGTGTTTTTACTATATGTACTGATATCAAAATTAACCAGTGGAGAAAAGAAACTCTCAAAAGTCTGTCATTTAGATTTTTCTGAATCACAGATAATTTATATCCAACTGTTGGAATTATAAGCGTGTTCATATTTTTTAAATAAAAATTTAGAGTTGATTTATGGTGGGTTATGAAAGATCATGGAATGGAACAGATGATTAAGAATTGTACAAAATAGCTTATTTGAAGCAAAATAATAATCTCCAAAATAATGGATGAAAATATTTTGTTCCTCTCATAAAGTAACTGTTTTTATTCTAGTTTACTCCCTGCTCTGAATTCTTTGGTATCCGCCCATTATACTTGGAGTAAAATCAACTTTCTTTCCTCAGGCTTCTAGGACTTGTTGACATGGTTCATATACATTTTTCACCCGTACAGTTAGAGGAGATTTAGAGGGGCCAGGCCAAATATCAAAGGACAATCATGACAGGAGTTTTGATATGATAAAAAGAGCAGTAACTCTAAAAAGGAAGGAGATGATTAAAAGGACAAGAAATAATTTTAAATATTTTTGAAAATGACTTCATTCCCTTAGAGCATAATCATCGGTCACAGGCAAAGTATCAAGTAGATTTGGAAAGGAAAACAACCTGGTTAACTCATTTTTTTAAATGCTCAAATTAAATGTGTTCTGTCTTTCCAAGTTAGTTTTAGATTTTAACATGCACAATACTTTTATTCAAATAATACCCACCTTCTACGTTTGTTTGCAGCTATGCTAATTTTTCTAATTTAAAAAAAAAAAGCACAGTGCTGATTTTTTTTACAGCAATATTCCTTTCTTAGTAGACATGATTGAAATGACTGAACCTACAGAAACGAGTATAACTTTTTTCTGAAGTGGTTGCAGTTGGGAGCTGTTATAAACTACGTATAATAAAGATTTTCAGTGTTACAATTTTTAATTCCATACAAAGAACAAAACCTGTAAATTTATAAATCGAGGAAGAGAATGAGCTAATCCCCTCTTTCATTAATAGAAATTACATAAATGCACTGCCTTTGTGCATATAGAGGATGTAGACCTCTTTATTTCTGGTATGAATAGTCCAGGACACTTCATCCAAATCTTTGATCTAGTAGTTTTCTGATCATAGATGACTACAGACACAGAAATGAGGATGACATTTTTTAATCTGTAGGGTCTAATCTTGTAAATATACCACTGCTACAAAAATTTGGTGGCAAACAGAGTCCTTCTCTTGCACAGCCATCTCATGTGTAGGTGGTCTCCAATGTGAATATCCAGATTTGAACTGACACAGCACATAATAACACCAGCGTCTTTCACATGGCTATTTAAGCTCTGAAAATCAGGGAAATAGTCTACTTTACCTAATCAAGTTTTGCCAGTTCTTGTTAATTAGCACCATTGTCTCTAGTATATCCAGTTCCTCTTTTTATAGAGTATATAAAGTACCTTTCTCCTATTCTTACCCTAGGTCCCTAACTCCTTGACTGCAGATTTTCCCTGCCTCTATTATGTCTTCAAACAGATTCATCTTATTGATGTGGGGATGTATGGACAAAAGAACACTGGACTTGGGACAAAAAGTCCTGGTTTAAGAATCATTTCTGTCATTTTCTCTCTATGAAATAAGGGAGAAGTTAGTTAACCTCTTTTTGTTAAACTGACTCAAAAGTTTTAAATTGTAAAACTTCTAAGCAAATTGCTGTAAGTATTAAAAAGTATTTTGTGTATGAAATAGATTTGAAATAATTTTAAAATACTAGTTCAAATACACAAACATAATTTTTATTTTAAATTTTGTCAACCTAGATCATATGCTGCAATTTTTTCCACATAAGAAAGAGCTTGAAAGTCATAGCATAAAATACAAATGTGATCATTTGATCCAATGCTGCAAACATGAATGTGAAACTCTAAGATTTCTAAATCTAAGTGGTCATCCTGTTTCATAATTTGAACTTGTGTAACAATACATAATAACGACAGCATCTTTGAGATGGTTGTTTAAGCGCCGGAAACAGGGAAAATAGAGTGTACTTTACCTAATCAAGTCTTCCCCAATCCTTGCTGATTTACACTACCTTTTATCTTGTATAATATCATATTGTATGGTTAGCATAATCTAAATGCTTATCAGCTTCAGAAATAAATATTCTATAGGGATAGGAAGATACATAGGTAATAGAGATACACATACACACCCACACCCATGTCTAATTAAAATGTCATTTCAATTTGGAACCACGACTTTTTACTTTAAAGTGAAAAGTAAATAAATAGATAGATAGATAGATAGGCAGATTATCTGTATTATCCACTGCTGTGAAAAACTGTGCTGTATAATATTGTATCAAATTAGACTTCTCAACACAGTATATCAGCCAGATAATCTAATAGAAACATCAGTTTAAATGTATTACTTAAAACTCTCATATAGATAGGGCTAATGCAGTTCAATTTTTTTCACCAACTATATTTCAAGGATTTTTAATAAAGTTTTTTTTTTCTTTTGCTTTATGGATATACAGCTGCATTTGCTTACTAAGTGAAATATTTAGTCCATAGTTTAAAAGCTGTGTATAAACTCAGCATTTAAGGAAATGTGAAAAGATGCTTAAAAGTATTTCTTCTATATATAAACGTATAGAATGAATTGAAATTAAGCTGTTAAACAGGATAGCTGGAATTGAATATTTTTTAAACTAAATACATTTAATATGAAATGTATTTAGTTTTCAAAAAAAAAAAATTTTCCCAAGTGGAAGAAATTTTCCCCCTCCTGGAATAGGTTATGTAGGATTTTCAAATTGTACATGTATACATCCTTAAGAGATGGATGAAATGTCTTTGTATTATCTTTAAAGTAACAGTATTACTCACCCCTGTTTTTTCCTTATTTATTCTACATCTTTTATTTGAAAAATATCTAAGCAATTTTGTGTTATTAATCTCTAAACTATGCCTTTGTGATACCAGTAGGGAAACATATGCTTGTCCCCTTTTCCATACTCACACTTACTTGTAAGCACAAGTGGAGAATCATTGTCCTGGACTACTGGAGTTTCATTCCACACTCTCCTTTTCTCTTCCTTCTGCCATCTTGCCCTCCACAACCACAATGTCTCTATGTCCACAAAATACTGAAATGACATGGTCAATTTCTTGAAAAGGCCTCTCTTCAGTGAAAAATTCTGCTAATATGAGCTCAATCATTTGAATTGTCTTCTTATTTAAGAAGAGTTTTTGGTGTGCTAACTCTGTGTAGACATAGTCCATGTCTTACATCTTCAGAATATCATCTGGACAATTGGGAGATTTTGTGTTGTATCACTTGTGGTTGGAATTTTATAAAGGTTACTCTATAATTCAAAATTCACTGGCAAAATCACAAAACCATAATAGATATCAGTAATTTGAAAGGAAATCCTAAAATAATGGGAGCATAATTCTTACCAAAAGTAAACTCACCTCCGTAGTGGGGAATCATAATCAAGGAGACATATATATGGTAGCAAATCTTTTTGATAGGTTGACTACACCTGTTTGCTTACATCAGTGTTGAAATGTGTATTAAGTGGTAAATGAATTCAATGAACTAGTTTACTTTCCAGGATTTGATAAAAGTTATAGCACTATGAGTGGGGAGGAGAAGAGATGAGGCATTGTTAAAGATAAGGAATGCAAGAAGAGACTGCGTTGGATGAAGGCAAAAACTGGTGTTTTGCTCTTTGATTCTCCTTGAACTGACCAAATGTGAATTAAAAGTCTGAAATAAACAGATTGTTTATTTTTTTTTAATTATGTGATAAAAAAATAAGATTTTATTTATTGAGCATTTCAACATCCTAGGGAATATGCACAGCATTTTTACATGCATTAATTTACTTAATCTTCAGAACAGACCCTGGATCTATGAACTTATACAGTTTATGGTAAACAACATAAAGAATTTTAGGAAACATGCCTATATTGAACCATTCTGAGATATAATAGTAGAAGAATTTTAATGTTTAAATCACATTACATTTGTGCTTCTCAGACGTTAGGGAACATCTGAATCTCCTGGAAGATGTGTTTGATACAGATGCTGGGCCCATTCCAGTTTCTGATTCAGTAGGTCTGGGGTGGAGTCTGAGAATCTGCATTTCCAATAAGATCCCAGGTGGTCCTGATGCTGCTCATCCAGACATTACACTTTGAGAACAATGACCTTATATAAGTCACCTAAAGGTGAATTTTGGCTTTATCCTGTATTGAATTTCAATGCTCTGATAACCTATAAACTGATTCCTAACTCTGGACAGTTATACATTGTCTTCTTTTTTAGCCTATTTTACTCCTTATGAATAACAATTATCAATGACTTTCATGTTCCTCTGTATAAAGTATGTGTAATACAATTACTTACTTTCTTAGGCAAATGCATAGTGACCAAGTTTATTGGTGATTACCAGAGGCTTGGGAAAGTGCAGAGTAGGGTAATTATTACTTAAGGGGTACTGGATTTCCATTAAGGAAGGGCAGTAAATAAAAAATTGGAAGTGGATAATGATGATGGTTGCACAACATGGTGAACATGATTAATGTCACTAATTTTATATGTAAAAAATGTTGAAATGGCTACTATTTTGTTACATATATT